CACAGCCAACTTGCCATGGGCAACTCATCACAGCCAACTTGCCATGGCCAACTCATCAAAGCCAACTTGCCATGGCCAATTCGCCACAGATGGGGGGAGAACCCTCTACTGGCAGATGTCTAAGTAAAGCCCTCCTTGCTGCCTCCCCCAGGCCACCCAGTCAATAAAACTGCCCTTCAAAGGCCCAACTGGAGCTCCTCCGACCCATTTCAAGGGGTCTGCAAGTCTCCTTCCCTCCACTCGGCCGGCTGTCCAGCAAGGCTCCCTCCCACTTGTCCTCAGCTGAGCTCCGTGGCCCTGGCTGGCCTCCAAGCCCCCCTCCCAGCCCTCGCTGCCCTCCTCTGTTGGAAGGCGCCTTTCCCGCCCACAAGACAGATTGTGTGTTCAACTGCAGAGCGCTGCCCTGACGTACCTCCCGCTTCCAAGAGGGGCCAGGCAAAAGTTGCCTCCAAAGAAGAACAGGGGGAAGGAGACGAGCGGTGACACACACACACACACACACACACACACACACACGGCGCCTGGGCTGAACACAAGGCAGCTTTGCACCCCAACTCCCCCCCCCTCAAAGAAGCCAATACAAGAAAAACTGGGGGTGGCAGTCGGCTCGAGCCAGCCAGCGAGCCAAGGAATGTTTTGGGGCCATGGCAGGAGAGGGAGGGGAAAGAACGAGGCCTTGTGTGGGAGGAGAAGGTTTTCCACCATGCTTTAAAACTGAGCTGAACTTCTCTGCGGATAAATAAGGGGGCTTGCAGAATGACCTCCCCCTCCATGAGATCGGCCAGACAAGGGCAAAGGATCACGGCCTCCTCCGCAAAGCCTCCCCACGAAACCCATTTTGCAGGATTTCTCCCATCCATAAACATAAAAACCACCGGGGTTCAGTCAGGGAAGCTGGCGAGAAAGAAAGACCAATAACGGCTGTTTAGGGTCCAGAAGGAGGAAGGCCAACCTCTCGGCCGAAACCTCCTCTTGGGGACAGCCCAGCGCCCTCCTCTTCCCCGTTGAGGGGCTGTCAGGAAAGCACCCCCCAATGCCCACCGAAACTCCAGAGGGGGAAAGAGGAGAGAAGAGAGGAAAGAGGAAAGGAAAAGGAAGGGGAAACGAAAGGGAAGGGAAGGAAAAGAAAGGGAATAAGGGAAAGAAAGGAAAGGGAAGAAAAAGAAAGGAAAGGGAAAGTAAGGGAAGAAAAAGAAAGGAAAGGGAAAGTAAGGGAAGGAAAGGAAAAGAAAGGGAAAGTAAGGGAAGGAAAGGAAAAGAAAGGCAAAGGAAGGAATGGAATGGAAAGGAAAGGAAAAGAAAAGAAAGGAAAAGAAAGGAAAGGAAAGGAAAGGAAAGGGGTAGGAAGGGAATAGGGAAAGGGAGAAGGAGGAAAGGGGCTTTCACAAATGAAGGAGGGAGAGGGCCCCAACCAAGGAAGGAAGGAGGGAGGCAAGAGATGTTCCTGACCTTATTGGGTCAAAGAATGTGAAAGGTTCAATTCTGAAAAGTAAATTCCCTTTCTGGGCAGGAACGGCAGAGAGCGGCCTCCCTGGGAGACTAAAGACCGCCGCCGCCGGGCAAAGGGGCAGGCAGCCAACTCTCCAGGCAGGAGCGGGTGGGGTGGGGGGTCTTTTAGAGCCAGGAGACCCTGCAGAAAGCACTTTCCCTGCCTCCAACCTGCAGGCCAGCCTCTCCCCCGGGGAAGGGAAGGCAGCGGCAGGGGAGGCAGCTTTGGGGCGAACCCTGAAATGTGGGGTCCCCACTGTTCTCTGAGCTTGGTGGTCTTGCGGCTGATCAGGCCACCGAGTTGGGTCGTGAAACGTCCGCAAGAAAACCAGCAGGCTCAGACAGCACCAAGGAGCCCACAGTCCTCCTCCTCCTCCAGCTACGAACCGCACTCCCTTCTAGCACTGATGACGTTACCTAGCTGGGTTGTCAAACATTTGCAAGAAAACGAGTCAGCTTAGAGGGCGCCAGGGACACCACAGTCCCTCTTCCTCTTCCCTCTCACTCCTCTCCTCTCCCTTTCCTCCTCCTCCTCTCTACAAACCCCTCTCTCCCTTCTAGCGCTGATGACGTTACCTGGTAGGGTCATGAAACGTCTGCGAGAAAACCAGCTGAGAACAACATTTCCATGACGTTTTCTGTAATGGCTGCCTTTACCCCCTTACCTTCCCTGTCTCCCTCCTGGCCTGCAGCACCTCCTCCTCTCTCTTCTGGGGCCTGAGGCACAACCTGGGGCGGAAAGAAAAGCCGTGAGAACAAGATTCTGCCCCCCACCCCATCTCCTGGCCCTCAATATGAGCTGCAGCCAGGGGTGGGCTGCTGGGGGTCCCCGGGGGTTCGGGGGAGCCCCTAGCTAAGATTCTGTGCAGTTGGGAGAACCCCCCCCCCCCCCCAAAAAAAATCCCACTCCTGGATGGCCCCGCCCTTGAAGCTCCCACAACTTCCGAAGGCAACTTCTGTTCCACTGGTTGATGGATCTCCCTGTCAGAAAATTCCCCCTTATTTCCAGGTTGAATCTCTCCTTGGTCGGTTTCCATCCATTGTTCCTTGTTTGGCCTTCGGATGCTTTGGAGAATAGCTTGACCCCCTCCTCAAATATTGGAATATTTGACCCCCTCAAATATTGGAAGATGCTCTCCTGTCTCCCCTGGTCCTTCTCTTCCCTAGACTAGCCAGGCCTGTAACAGTTCTTCCTATGTTTTAGCCTCCAGTCACTCTCTCTTGCTCTATCTCCCTCTCTTTCTCTCCCTCTTTCTCTCCTTTTTCTCTCCCACTTTTTTCTTTCTCTCCTTCCTTCCTTTCTCTTTTGCTTTTTCTTTCCTTTTCTTTCTCTCCCTCTCCCTTCAAATATTGGAAGACCGCTATCTTGTCTCCCCTGGTCTTTCTCTTCCCTAGCCAGGCCCAGTTCCTGCAACCGTTCATCGCACGTTTTAGCCTCCAGCCCCCTCATCCTCCTGGTTGCTCTTCTCTGCCCTCTTTCTAGAGCCTCAACCTCCTTTTTTTATAGCGTGGGGACCAAAAGTGGACACAGATTTACCTCTCTCTTCTGGCTCAGGAGAGACCCTTCTTTGGGGGGAATGTCCCTCCCAACGCTGACCATCTCCAGCGGCTCCTCTTCCCTGGTTGGAGAGGCGGCTTCTCCTCCGGAGGAGTTCAGCCCCTCCTGGACTTTGAGGGGTGCCAGGCCTCCAGCTTCCTCCTCCTCCTCCTCCTCCGAAGGCGGCGGCGGCTGTGGCTGGGGGCCTGAATCCTGGTCACGGGAATTGGGCCCAAGGTCTTCACCGCTCGCCTCCTGGCCTGGGGAAGGAGCAGACTCGGAAGGCCGGTGGCTGGGCACGGCTTCCAGGAGCAGAATGGTCCCCGAGGAAGACTCTGCTGGGGGGGGGGGGGGGGGGGGGGGCCCCCCGCACGAGCCGCCACGCGTTGTGGGGGGCCACACCTCCCATCATCCCTGCCAACAACCCTATAGAGGTCGAGGCCTATCAGATTGACAGGTAACAGATCATCGGAGTTGGAAGGGACCTTGTAGGTCATCTAGTCCAACCCCGAGGCCCTACACCGTTTCTGACAAACGGCAGCCCAGGCTCTTCTTGATGGTCTCAAGCGATCGGAGGCATCTTGCGGGCTCCAGCTTTCCGCCTCAATCCAACCCCGCGCCAGCAGGCTGGCGCCACGCCAGGCCCCCCACCTAGCCCACTCTAGGTGCCTCCTGCAGGGATCCTTGTCCTGGCCTCACCTGGATCATCAGCCGCCTTGGGATCCAGCGGCTCCTGGATCTGGCTTGGAACCAACTCCTTCCCTGCTCGGTTCCGCACCTGGAGGAGGACGAGAGAAAAATGCAACCTCAGCTTCCCCGAAAAGATCCGTTCAGCAAAGCCCTAAGCACGTGCAGAGTGCGGTCCCTGTTGGCATAACACTGTGGAAGCTGTATTGCAGGTGGTCCTCGACTTACAGCCACAATCGAGGCCAAAATGTCTGTTTTTAAGTGGATTTGGTTTCCCCATTAATGTCAAAGCCAATAGCCAGGTGAGCAGATTAAACCGCCAACTAGGAGAAGGCTGCCCTCTGGTGGGCAAAATGGGGAAGTTAGCGTTCTCCAAGCACAACTCTTCTCGCCCTCCAGGGGTTGCGCAGGCAGCCCTGCCTTTCCCAGAGGCCAGGCCGACAGCCGAATTCCCAAAGAGACTCCACAGGGAGGTGTACCAGCTGGGCACCAACTAGCCTGGCATGGGATGATGGGGGCTGCAATCCTAAAGCATGTACAGAGTGCAAGATTGGGGCAGCTACCTGAGAGGGCCAAAAAGGAAGATTGACGGCCAAGATGAAAACGTCTCACACTCTGGGGGGGCAAATCTGATGCCTCCCAATTGAGGGGCAGCCTCCTTCTTGCCTTCTCCTCCTGGGAGGAGCTAAGGTGGCGCAGTGGTTAGAACGCAGGACGGCAGGCTTCTTCTGCTGACTGCCGGCTGCCTGCAATTTGGCAGTAAGAATCTCACCAGGCTCAAGATTGACTCAGCCTTCCGTCCTTTTGGGGATGGTAAAATGTAAACCGCTTAGAGAGGACTGGGAAGCACTGGGAAGCGGTATAGAAGTCTAAGTGCTATTGCTAAGTGAGGAAGGAAGGAAGGAAGGAAGGAAGGAAGGAAGGAAGGAAGGAAGGAAGGAAGGAAGGGCCATGGTGGTGCAGTGGTCAGAATGTAGTATTGCAGGCTAATTCTGCCGACTGCCAGCAATTCGAATCTCACCAGGTTCAAGGTTGACTCAGCTTTCTGTCCTTCCGAGGATGGGAAAATGAGGACCCAGATTGTTGGGGGCCATGTGCTGAGTCTGTAAACTGCTTAGAGGGGGCTATAAAGCACTATGAAGTGGTATATAAGTCGAAGCACTATTGCCCTTCCTTCCTTCCTTCCTTCCTTCCTTCCTTCCT